CCAAATGCCAGCAAACGGGACTAGATCAGATTAGGATGTCTGGTCAGCAAGGACAAGGTGGAACGACGGGTCTGTTTCCATGCCGTATAACTTTATGACTTTATTTATTTACCTTGGTGTGTTTTGAAAAGATGATCCTCTCCATTTCTACCAGATCCCTGTGGTCAGTGTATTCAGATATCTCCTCATGCTGCGTGTCTATCAAACCCCACTATCCTCCAAACCCACCCCCTTCCACCCACCAAACCTTCCACCCTCCAACCCTACCCCTCTCCCTGTCCAAACCCACCCCCTCCACTTCCAAACCTACTTCACTCTACCCTACCCTTAGCTCCTGTCCAGAACCTTAAATTGCTGATGCCTGGTTGGCCGATGGGAACAGGGGCTCCCCCTCTACCTTCTCCCAAATCTCTCATCACCTTAAACCAGAGGGAACGGAGGGGCCCAGCCTTTAAAGGATGGGTCAAGATAGTGGAGCCATCGCCATCCAACCATCTGGTGGCTGAAGGAACGAGATTAAACCGGAGATCAATCGTTTTGCTCAATAAGAGTATAACTTGATCTCATTGAATGGCGCAGCAGACTCGATGGGCTGAATGGCCTACTTGTGCCGTTCTCTCACCGTGTCTGTCGGACATGCTGTCAAAGAACATCCAGTGGTGGTCTTCCGGTCCATATTTGATGAACGAGACGTAGTGGCTGGTCTCGATACAGAGCACAGCAAAGAGCTGCATCTTCTCCCGTGGGACCTGACTCTTCCCGAAGCGAACAAACTCATCGGGGCATTTGAGCTTCATGGAGCGGTGGCTGCACCTAGAGGAGTGGGAGTGAACCTGGTCCAATGGGTGGGTGGGGTGGGGGTGAGGGGAGAGACGAAGGGAGGAACATTAGACCTGGGAATATTGTTACCCCTCCACATGGGGGTCAGGACACATGCAAGAATACCAAATTTCAAACGTTCACAACAATTGATACTACAGGAGGCTACTGAATGGTTGTGAGTGACACACTATAGGGTGCAGCGGAGATTCACTGTGGGGGACGTTCCCTGGGCTGGAGTGTTACAGCAGAGAGAGCGAGAGCGAGAACGAGAACGAGAGAGACCTGATAGACCAGGGTTGTTATCCCTAGAGCACAGATGGTTGATGGGAGGAGGAATCTGATAGTGCTGCACATAGTTCAGAGAGGTACGGACGGGGTAGATAGCAAGAAACCTTTCCTCTTAGTCGAGGGGTAAATAATCCAGGAGGCACAGTTTTAAAAGTAAAAAGCAGGATGTTTAGAGGGGATTTGCCCTCATTGGAGGTCAGAGAAGGTATGGAGGGAGTCTTATGAGCAAAGGCTAAACAGGTTGGGATTCTAATCATTGGAGTTTAGAAGAATGACAGATGATCTCATTGAAACCTTAGAAACATAGAATCCCTATAGTGTAGAAGCAGGCCATTCAGCCCATTAAGTCCACACCAACCCTCTGAAGAACATCCCACGCAGACCCAACCACATCCCCCATCCCATCTCTGCAACCCTGTGTCACCCATGGCTAATCCACCTAGCCTACACATTCTTGGACACTATGGGCAATTTCCCACAGTCAATCCACCCAACCTGCACATCTTTGGACTTTCCGAGGAAACTGGAGGGAACCCACACTGACACGGGGGAGCGTGTAAACTCCACACAGACAGTCGCCCGAGGGTGGAATCGAACCTAGGTCCCTGGCGCTGTGAGGCAGCAGTGCTAACCACTGGGCCACCGTGCCGCCCAAAACATATCAGACTCTTAAGGGGGTTGACAGAGTAAATGCTGAGAGGATGTTTCCCCTCATGTAAGAGTCTAGGATTGGACAGCAAAGGTCTCAGAATAACGGGGCACCAATTTAAGACTGAGATGAGGAGGAATTTCTTCTGAGGGTTGAGTGTCTTTGCAACTCCTTTCCAAAGGGAGCTGTGGGGGCAGAGTCCTTGTGTATATTTAAGGCTGAGATAGAGAGATTCTTAGAATCAGTCGGGGAATCAAGGGTTACAGAGAAAAGGCAGGAAAGTGGACGTGAGGAATCAGCCATGATCCTACTGAACGGCAGAGCAGGCTCAACGGGCTGAATGGCCCATTCCTGTTCCTATTTCTAGGTTCTCATGGTTTAAAAATTATTTCACCCACAGGATTGTGGGTGTCTGGATCCCACTGCCCAAAGGGCTGGTTGAGGTAGGAACCTCAACATTTCGGAGGTATTTCAACGGGCACTTGAAACGCCATAACATACAAGGCCAAGCGCCGGGAAATGGGACTAGAATAGATGGATGCTTGATGACTAGCACAGACAAGATGGGCCGAAGGGACTCTTTCCATGCTGACTCTGATTGGCTGACGTGTTGCTAGGGAGAAAGTAATGGGATATTATAGCCTCCACAAGCTCCAAGGTAAGTCAATGCACAAGGCCTGAGCATATTGCTTCCGCAGACCAGATCCCAGTGTGTGAAGGCCAGGGCTTTTCAAGGATGAACTATGTCGTAGGCTCGAGCGACGATCAGAAAGAGACCGTTCCTGTTGGTGCACACAGAGGGCACTAATTCGAGACTCTCTTGCGCTCCCACAGTTTTTGGTGAACTGAAACCATCGGATTTACAAGTATAGGCTTGTGATATCTCTCTCTGATTTACAAAGGCTGCAAACACAAAGCCCTAAGACGATGGGGGAAAGAAGCAAAAAGAAAAAAATGCAATAAATGTGAAATAAAAGCAGAAACTGGGGGAAATGCTCAGCGAGTATCTGTGAAGACAGAGAGACAGAATTGCCACTTCCAGTTGGAAAGCTTTTGGTGTTCAAACTGAGTCTAAAGTAGGAAGCAATTAGAGTTTGTCAGCTGAGACCCAGTCAGTAGCACTGTCACTGCAAAGTCAACACGGTGGGTTCGAGTCCCACTTCGGAGACTCGAGTTTCACAGCACCGAGGGAGTGCTGCACTGGCAGAGGCACCACCTTTCAGACAAGTCACCCTCTCCACTGTTTGTAAACGATGCCCCCAGCGCTACTTCAGATAGTGACCCCGCACCCCCGTGACCATGCCCCCGTCCCCCCGTGACCACCACCGGTCCAGATCTCCATTACATTCTCCATCCCCCTCACCTTGGCCAGCCCAGAGACTGGAAACCCCCGAGAATTCGGACAATTCTACCTCACCCGACCACGCCACGTTTTGCCGAGTGTCGCAAATCACCCCCACCCACCCCACCCCCAGCACGTCAGCAGATTATTGCCCTGTTTATGGAAGGGGCAGTGATGGGGCTGGTGGGAAGACTGTCTGACGATGATCGCACTGCTATTTGTGGGATCCTGCCATGCACAAGAATGGCTCATTGCTGACGTTACCCAAAAAAAAGGCAACTAAAATTTAAAATTATTTTGGTGGTTGACAAATGCTTGGTAACATCCAGAGAGTCTCTCAGAATGACAGAACTGTTACGGTGGCCGATCAGCCCATATTGCCTGTTCTGTCACCGAATACCAATCTCCTGCCTTTTCTCCATATCCCTGCACACTGTTACTATTCCAATGACAATCCAGTGCCCTCTTGAATGCCTCAAGCGAACCTGCTTTGATCCCATTTCCAAACTAAATGAAGGGAACTTTTTATCAATATTCTGCTTTGCCACATCACTTTAGGGCTCAGTCTGAGAGAATCACACAATGACCTGGCCTCCATAATCCTCTGCAACAACATGTTCCATATAGTCACCACCTTCTGGCGGAACAAATTCTTCCTCATCTCCGTTTTAAAAAAGGTCGTCCCTTCACTCTGAGGCTGTGCCCTCAGGTCCTAGTCTCTACTACTAGTGGGAACATCTTCTCCATGTCCACTCTATCTCAGCATTGTCTAAGCTTCAATCAGATTCCCACCCCCACCTGTACCTTCTAACCCCCATTGAGTACAGACCTAGAGTCCTTAACCACGCCTCATATGACAAACCCTTCATCCCGGAGATCATTTTTGTAAACCTCCTCTGGATGCACATCAATGTCAGCACAGCTCAAAACTGTGTTGCTCCAAGGCTCCACGACTGTCTATCTTCCTCTGCATTTCGTTTTTATTTGCCTGTGGGCATTTATTGCCCATCCCTAGTTGCCCTTGAAAAGGTGGTGATGAGCTGCCTTCTTGAACCGCTGCAGTCCATTTGCTGACCCACAATGCCCTTACGAAGAGAATTCCAGGATTCCAGTGACAGTGAAGGAACGGCCAAGTCAGGACAGTGAGTGGTGTGGAGGGGAACTTGCAGGGAGTGGGTGTTGTATCTGCTGCCCTTGTCCTACTTGGAGGAAGCATCAATGTTTATGATTTAAATCGCCCTTCACAGTGAATGTTTTGGGAGAAATTGTTTTGCACGATACAACCATCCTCCACAGAGTCACAGTATTTTTTTATTGGGAGAGAACATGTTATTTTAACTGGACTATTGTTTCTGTTTTAAGCTTGGTCATGTTTGCCTGCAGAGTGTGGTCACTCTGTTTCATCAGACTCCAAGTATTCCTGGCTGATGACCGAGAGTACAGGCTGAAAGGTAGAAATCTCCTGGTTAATCCAGTCCCTGCCCCAGTTTCACTGACTGACACTCAGAGTCTCAGCTCTGCAGGAGTTCCTCAGGGTAGTGTCCTAGGCCCAACCATCTTCAGCTGCTTCATCAATGACCTTCCCTCCATCATAAGGTCAGAAGTGGGGATGTTCACCAATGATCGCACAATGTTCAGCACCATTCGCGACTCCTCAGATACTGAAGCAGTCTGTGTCTAAATGCAACCAGATCCAGACAATATCCAGGCTTGGGCTGACAAGTGACAAGTGACATTCATGCCACACAAATGCCAGGCTATGACCATCACTAATAAGAGACAATCTGACCACCATCCCTTGACGTTCAATGGTGTTACCATCACCGAGTCCCTCACTACCAACATCCTGGGGGTTACCATTGACCAGAAACTCAACTGGACCCACCACATAAACACAGTGGCTACAAGAGCAGGCCAGAAACTGGGAATACTGTGGCGAGTAACTCACCTCCTGACTCCCCAAAGCTTGTCCACCATCTACAAGGCACAAGTCAGGAGTGTGATGGAATACTCCCCACTTGCCTGGATGAGTGCAGCCCCAACAACACTCAAGAAGCTGGACACCATCCAGGATAAAGCAGCCAGCTTGATTGGCACTACATCCACAAGCATCCATTCCCTCCAAAACCAATGCTTAGTAGCAGCAGTGTGTATTATCTACAAGGTGCACGGCAGAAATTCATCAAAGATCCTCAGACAGCACCTTCCAAACCCCTGAACTCTCACATCTGATGCAGGTATGATGGGCTGAATGGCCTCCTACTGTGCTGTAACGAGTCCATAGCAATTCCAGAGGACAAGGAGAGCAGAAACATAGGAACACACAATATCCCAAACAGACTGAGCCGAGCACGTCGGATGGATCCACAGCATGTACCTGGTGCCAGCAAATGTCACAGAATTGCTTGAGTCCTGTTTTCGAGAACAGTTTGTCTTTGAAGCACTCCTCACATTCCTGAGTGGCCAGCTCTCCACACAGACAGCATTCCCTGGGACCTGCAGGAATGGCAAAACATTCGGAAAAGGTCCCAGCTGTGAGGAATATCTGATCAGAATCCTACTCCCAGAGCCTGGAATTCCCCAGTGTGAAGTAGCTGGCCCAGACACAGGTATTACGTGAGTGTGACATTGGCCACCATTTTTATTTCGTGGGTTGAAGGGCTACGGGAAAGCGGAGTTGAGGCCGAGAAGAGATCAGCCACGATGATATTGAATGGTGGAGCAGGCTCAAGGGGCTGAATGGCCTACCCTTGCTCCTGGTTCTTATGTTCTTACACTTTCCCTAGAGCAGAGGAGACTGAGAGGGGGGTGCGAAGTATACATTGAGGAGGGGCATATACAGGGTAGACCGGAAGAAATTTCTCCCCTGGGTACACGAGTCAATGACCAGGGGGCATTAACTAAGGCGCAGGAGGTTTAGAGGAGATGGGAGGAATTTATTTTACAGCCAGAGAACTCACTGCCTATACAGGTGGAAGAGGTGTGTAGATGTGCAGTTACAAAGCCAAGGGCTTGAAAATGGGATTAGAATAGTGAGGTGGTTGTGTTTGAAAGTTGTTTTCCCGATGCGGTAGATCTCTACGATAATGATTTTAGAGGGAATTAAACCTGCAGGGGCTGTGAGAATCAAGTGGGGGAGTGGGACCGACTGGACTGCTCAGGGTGGGGGTGGCGGGGGGGGGGGGGGGGGGGGGGGTGGGTGGGGAGTGCAGCACCAGATCTGATGGGCTGAATGGAGTCCTTCCAGAAATCACTGGGATCTGACCTACCAACCAGTGGCAGCTCGTGTAGGTGTCACATTGGAGAGTTTGATTCTGGGGAAGGGAAGCCGACAGATGCAGGTACAGTTATAACATTTGAAAGATATTTGGATAAGTTCATGAATCAGAAAGGTTTGGTGGGACATGGGCCAGGCAGGTGGGACTAGTTTAGTTTAGGGACATGATCAGCATGGACTGGTTGGACCGAAGGGTCTATTTCCATGCTGTAAGGGACTATGACCCACTTGTGCTCTCTCTCTCGCACTCTCTCTCTCTCTCTCTCTCTCTCTCTCTCTCATACCCTAACAAGCCTCTGGATGTTCCCAGCTTCTATCAAACACCCGCCCCCAAAGACCTTCACTGACGAGGAGAGAGCCTCCCACTACTGCGGGTGGACGGAAGAGAGACGGAGAGAGAGAATGGCCACATGTCAGGCAGGGACCTATTAGTCTACTCATAAACAGTCCACCTTTCTTCCCCCCATTCCATAGCCCCTGGACCTTCTCCCCTCCTGCACCCCTCTCTCCTGCAACAGTCCCCATCCTGCGCCCACTCTCTCCCCTCCGACCCCACCCCCTACTCCCTCTCCCCTCCTACAACACTCCCCGTCCTGTGCCACTCCCTGCTCCATCGCCACTCCTGTCCACTGCTCCCTTCCCCCCCAACCCCTCTACCTACTGTCCCACAGCAGGTCTGTGATGTCCAGCTCCAGAGAAGGGATGATTTTCTCAAACATTTTGTAATTCTTCCCAAAGCGAGGCATCTGCACGATGAGACACGATGGAACCTGAGGGTGGGGGGGGAAGGCAGGGAGGGTGACAGAGACAAACTGTCAGAGTTATCGGGATAACCCGAACAGACAAACAGTCATTAAAACAAAACCACGATCCTGGACTTTATTAATAAAAGGAGCAGGGTACAGAAACATGGGATTCGTGCTAACCCTTTAGAAACCACTGGTTATGTGGGAACAGCGGAGGCCATTCAGCCTGCTATGCTGTTCAATTCGATCATGGCCAGTCTGTCCCTTATCTCCATCTACTGAACTGCGGCTCTTTAACCAGGAGTTTGGAATCTTGCTGAGAGGCGGCTTGTTGGAGGTGTTTGTCTTGGACCCATCAGGACACTTCACAAGAATACCAATTCAAAAGGGAAACGGCACTGACACTGCATGGGAGCAGTATACTGACAGATTGGAAGAGACATTGTCCTGGAGAGCACACCCATCAATAACCATAATGACTGACTCAAAACAGAAAAAACTGCGGATGCTGTAAATCAGGAACAAAAACAGAAGTTGCTGGAAAAGCTCAGCAGGTCTGGCAGCATCTGTGAAGGAAAAAAATCAGTGAACGTTTTGGGTCCGGTGACCCTTCCTCAGAGCATAGCTCACCGGACCCGAAACGTTAACTTTGATTTTTTCCTTCACAGATGCTGCCAGACCTGCTGAGCTTTTCCAGCAACTTCTGTTTCTGTAGTGAATTACCAACCTTTGTTTAAACTTTAAATCAGGCAGGTTACTCTGATTGGTCAGGTTATTACCAACCTCTAATTGGCTCTCAGGGAAATTCTTCACACGCACAGGATTACGTAGCAAATGCTATCCAAGCGCAGAGTGACACTGAATGTTAAGAATATCGCAAGTAAAGGACCTTGCTCTATTGCAAACAGGCGATGATAGGATTTGTTTGATACGGTCCACCAGCATTAGGGATGTACAAACCCATCATCACACCAGCACTGGAATTCATCTCCTACATTCCTCACTCAGAGACGCAGAATGCTGTTTGCTGATTTCTCATCTCGCGACATTGAGGGCGGGAGCTCAATCGACTCACTTCAGGAGGCAAATCTGAGGGCAGGAGAGAACCCACTGAGATGTCTAAGGAAATACAGTAAATAGGGGCAGGAGTAGGTCATTCAGCCCTTCGAGTCTGCTCTGCCACTCAATATGATCGTCCAACTCAGTCCCCTGTTCCTGCTTTCTCCCCCATATTGTTTAGCTCTAAGAATTACATTCAACTCCTTCACTGTTCTGGGCTCAAACGCTTTCTGTGGCAGAGAATTCGACAGGCTCCCCACTACCTGGGTGAAGACATCTCTCCCCATCTCAGGCCTTTATTCCTACTGCCGCTGCGGGTTCAAGGAAAGCAAATGTATTGTCCGCGTATCGGAAATACACAAGAGGGAGGAAGTTAGGGGTCAATCCGTCTCACACACACACACGCACACGACCCAGCAAAGATATTTGAGGATTAGTGGAGATCCTACAATGACACTGTCTCACTGGGGAAACATGGTGGTGGTGAAACAGAACCCCGTTCAGCAAGCTGTTGCCAATCGGAGCCGACTTGCCGACCAATCGGACTCCTTTCCTCCAGGGGGATAAATTGCTGCGATTGTTTAAACTTTGGCATTCTTGCTAAACGTCCTGACGGCTGCAAGACGAGGAGCTCAGACAAGCCTCTCCTTATACAATCCTTCACATCCTAGACCAGCCCAGCAGTTATCTAAGGTTCGAAAATTTTAATTGGCTCCCAGCCTCGACTGCTCTTTCTCAGGGCATGTTTCGGGAATTCTACTGCCGGCAGAGCGGATGGAGCTTCCTGACATTGACGCTGGAACTGGGAGCTCAGTCCCCTTCTTCCTAGACTTGACACACCAGAGGGAATGTCTAACTAACCTGATTGAATACTTCTAGCAGCTTTTAGACCTCAGTTCAATCAGACTCGCTCAGCAGAGCACACTGAAACACAACATTCTTCATTTTATTGGAGTCCGTTCGGAGAAGGTTCACTAGGATGATCCCTGGCATGGACGGACTGTCTTATGAGCAAAGGTAAAATGGGTTGGGACTTTACTCACTGGAGTTTTGAAGAATGAGAGGTTATCTCATTGAAACATATCAGATTCTTAAAGAGCTTCACAGGGTAAATGCTGAGAGGATGTTTCCCCCTCATGGGAGAGTCTAGGACTCTCATGTTAAGGGGATTAAGGGGCACCAATTTACGACCGAGATGAGGAATTTCTTCTCTCAGAGGATTGACAGTCTTTGGAATTCCTTGCCGCAGACCTTATGTATAATTAAGGCCGAGATAGATAGATTCCTGATCAGTTAGGGAGTCAAGGGTTATGGGAAAATGCCAGAAAGTGAACGTGATGAATGTCAGATCAGCCATGATCCTACCAAATGGTAGGACAGACTCGAGGGGCCGAATGGCCTGCTCCTGTTCCTATTTCTTACGGTCTTGTGGACAGAATCCAGTCTCGTAATTTAACCCTTTCAGGCCAGGCATGATCTCCTCGAAGAGGAGCCTCACCACCACTCACCTCAGCCAATTTGAGCTGGTTACTGTGGAAGGAATGTTCTACCAGTTGTTGCACTGTGGGAACAGTCAGGTCATCATCCTGGTCAATGAAGATCTGATGGCAGTAACACTCCTGATCCTTATGGCCTGCCGACCTGGGGGGAGTAAGCAGACACATCGGATCTCCACACGCACAGCAATGGGCAGGGGGGTAACACAACTCAGCGCGCACCATCAACAAACTCACCAAGGTTCCTCAGACAGCACCTTCCGAACCACCACTTCCATCTAGAAGGACAAGGACAGCAAATGCCTGGGGTCACCACCCACTGATAGTTCCTGTCCAAGCCATTCACCGTCCAGATTTGGAAATATATCACCATTCATCGACTGTTGCTGGGTCAAAATCCTGGAATTCCCTCCCCAAGGGCATTGTGGGTCAACCTACAGCATGTGGACTGCAGCGGTTCAGGAAGGCAGCTCACCACGTTCTCAGATGGCATTACTGCCAGGGTGGAGTATACTGTGATGGTGCCCACCAGAACCATCTGAGATCCTGCTTAGTGATGTCAGTCCACGTTACAATGTCTTGGGCAGAAGAGATGCTCAGCCTTGACAAACAGAGTAGGGTCATTATGTCATACTTAACAGCTAGTTACATTACACTGGAGGTACATCAGAGTCTTTTGTAAGACCTAGTCTGAACTTAAGAGGAGGCAAGCGTTGCTGTTAGTTACATAAACTCAGAGCAGCAACAGGAACACTGGGCAACTCCTCCCACGATTAGTCCTGTACATCCTGACGGGTGGACCCTCTCTCAAGATGACAGTTAACTCTATCAGGTATCAACTGTAGCACCAGTTTCTCCTGGGCAATAACAGCCAGGCATAAATGCTGGTCTGGCCCATAGTGCTGACACTAAACCAGGAGCCGTGCAGGACAGGCCCCGCACTTTCGGCCCCACGCACATGGAAAAGAAATTCAAGGGGCTGAGCATTGAAACAAATTGTCTAACTTCAAGGAGAATTTTTGAGGGAATGTCATTTGAGAGTGATGCTCCCACAGTGGGAGGGAGGTGTAAACTCTGCCCCATGTATATCCCAAGTGCTGCCAGGGTTACCCCAAGGAACACAAATGGCCAATCCCAACGGGTCCTGGCCACTTGGCGATCAGGGTTGACCTCTGCATTTGCCAGTATAACCATGGTGATACAGGGGATGTCCTGGGCTCTCAGGGTATCAGTTCCTTATCCCCTCCTCCTCAAAACAAATGAGATGAGATTGTGGGAGAGACAGTGATGGAGAGAGAGAGAGAGAGAGAGATAGAAAGAAAAAAAGGAGAGAGACAGAGAGAGGATGATGAGAATGTGGGAGAGAGAGTGATAGAGAGAAAGGGTGATAGGATAATGTGGGAGAGATGGAGAAAGGGTGATGAAGGGAATATGGGTGAGTGTGTTGGAGACAGAGGGTGAGACAGACAGAGTGAATGAGTGAGGAGGGAAATGAGAGGTGATGAGGAGAATGTGGGAGAGTGTGAGAGAGTGATGAGGGGAATGCGGGAGAATGATGGAGATAGAGGGTGATGTGGGACATGTGCAAGAGAGATTGATGAGGGGTGAGAGAGCGTGGGAGAGCGAGCGGGCGGGAGAGCGAGCGAGAGAGTAATAGAGCCAGGCTCGGATGAGGCTTTGATTCCACTGAAGGTGACTCACCTGAGTTTGAGTAATGGCTCCAGGCCGAGAACATGCTGCATGATCACATTGAGGAACTCCTCCGGGTCTAGGAAAGGGAAAGGGGGAAACACTTATTACAAGGGCCACTCACACCTCATTCCCTCTGCTGAGGGGGTTAACTCCTTGCTACATTGTCTTCCCTCCCCATCCAGTCTCACCCAGTGAGACAGAGAGAGCTGGAGCCCAGACCATGATGGTTGCTGGCTATTCTACCACATGGCTATCACGTTTTGTACTTGCCAATCAAAGATGACGACAGTGGAGCAGTGGGAGGTTGCAGCTATTTCACCTTCCCCAAAGCAAAGCCGCTGGGCCAAACAGCACCAGTCCCCTGTGAGCCACCGACTCTAAAAGCCCTTCAGAAACCAGAGCACAGCAATCAAGATGGACACTTCAGAGCAGAGCTGAGGGTGTGCTGCATTGTCAGAGGCACCTCCTTTCTGATGAGATACCCAGCTGATTGTGGGAGCTTGCTGTGCACAAATTGGCTGCTGTGTTTCCGAAATTATAACTGAGACTACATTCCAGAAGTACGCCACTTCTGTACAACCTGTTGGAACTTCGAGGTTGTGGAAGGTTCAATATACACCTGCTACCCCCCTCCTCCAGTTACAGGCAGCTCACACGCACATACATACATGCACATGCACACACAGTATAACAGATGGAGCTGGTTTATTCCAGTTACTGACCTTTCTCCTCACTGGTAAATCCCGCACAGGAACCTCCTGCTGTCAGCTCCTTCCTCAGGTTCATTACCTTTTTACAGTCGACAAACCCGTCTCTGGTAGAGAGAGAGTGAGATTGTGGATTAACAACCATTTCCTGCACAATCACAAAACAATCAATGCACTGAAAAGGCCATTCTGCCCACTGTCACATCTGCACTGGCCCTCCACAGGAGCAATTCACCCAGCACCACTCCCCCACTCCCCTCACCTTCTCCCTGTCCTTCCTTTTCCAATAATAATCCGATTCCCTCGGATTCTCTACCACATTCCAGATCCCACACAATTTCAGATCAGATGAAGGTCTGGCCAGCCCCAATGTCCACATTAATGGGGGAAGAAGAGAACAAAAGGGGTAGATTTACATATAATCTGACTCAGCGCTGGAGAATGGTACTGAGAGAGGGAACATGGAACGTGGAACAGTACAGCACAGGAACCGGCCCTTCAGCCCATGATGTTGTGTTGAACGTGACACCAAATTAATCTCTTCTGCCTGCCCTTTGTCCATATCCATCCAGTGCGTGAATATTCATGTACTATCTAAAAGTCACTTAATTGCCCCTATCGCATCTGTCTCCACCCCTGGCAGCACGTTCCAAGCACCTACTGCTCTGTGTAAAAAAAAAACACTTGTCCCTCCTGCTCCTCTGATGCTGTGTTCATCCAGCTCTACACCTTGTTATCTCAGATTTTCCAGCATCTGCAGTTCCTACTATCCCTGCCCGTCACATCTCCTTTGAACATTCACCCTCTCACCTTAAATGCATGCCCCCTGTGTATTAGGCATATTAAGTCTGGGAAAAAGATTCTGACCATCAACCCTATCTACTCATCTCATAATTTTATAGACTTCTATGAGCTCTCTCCACAGCCTCTGCCCCAAGAGAAAACAACCTGAGTCTGTCCAGCCTCTGCTTAATAGCTCATACCCTCTAATCCAGGCAGGATCCTGGTAAACCTCTTCTGCACCCTCTCCTGTAATGTGGCGAGCAGAATTGAATGCGATAATCTGAATGCAGTGTAACCAAAGGCTTGTAAAGCTGCAGCATGACATCCTGACTCTTGTACTCAATTCCTCAACCAATAAGGGCAAGCATGCCATACACCTCCTTTACCACCCTATCTGCTTGTGTGGCCACTTTCAGGGAACTATGGACTTGAACCCCAAGATCCCTCTGTACATCAGGGTCCTGCCATTAACTGTACACTTTCCCTTAAAATTTGATCTTCCAAAGTGCAGCACCTCACACTTACCCAGATTAAACTCCACCTGCCATTTCTATGCCCATATCTGCAACAGATCGCTGTATCCTTTGACAACCTTCTACACTATCCACAACTCCACTGATCTTTGTAGTGTCTGAAAACTTACTAACCCACAAACAGCAAAGGTCCCAGTACAGATCCCTGCGGGACACCACTAGTCACAGGCCTGCAGCCTGAAAAACACCCTTCCACCACTATGCTCTGTCTTCTATGGTCAAGCCAATTCTGAATCCATGTGGCCTAGTCACCGTGGATCCCACGCATCTTAATCTTCTGGATGAGCCCCCCCAGGAGGGAGCTTGTTGAAAGCCTTACTAAAATCCATGTGGACAACATCCACTGCTCTACCCTCACTGATCATCTTCATCACTTCCTCGAAAATTTCAATCAAGTTAATAAGACATGACCTGCCCCGCACAAAGCCATGCTGACTGTCCCTAATTAGGCCATGCTTTTCCAAATGCACATAGATCCTATCCCCAAGAATTCTCTCCAATAGGCTCCCAAACACCGAAATGAGACTCACTGGTCTGGATTTTCCTGGATTATCCCTATTTTCCTTCTTGACCAGAGGAACAACATTAGCTACTCGCCAGTCCTCAGTGAACGGAGAGAGACATTCGGAGTCTCCAGCTAGCCCCAGCTCCTGCCCTCCGGCACAGTCTCGCACCTCCAGCTCTCTGACAGTGTCCCGCACTCCCCTCCTTCCTCCCCGTGTACCCACCTGCGAAGTGGATTGACGATCTCCTCGCGAAGTATCCGCTGGATGTGTCTGCGCTGGGGGTTGGTGGCCTTGTGAAGCATAGAATCCAGCACCAAGGTGCAGGAGAAGAGGCTGCAAGGATAACACACGGCCAGAGAATCACGGAATCCCTACACAGTATGGGAGCAGGCTGTTCGGCCCGTCACGTCCACACCAACCCTCCGAACAGCGTCCCACCCAGACCCACTGTCCCCTACTGTATCCCTGTAACCCTGCATTTCCCAAGGCTAACCCCACCCTCCAAAGAGTGAATGTAGTCTCGAGTGAGAACGTGGGTCCCTGGAGCTGTGAAGCAGCAGTGCTAACCACTGAGCCACCGTGCTAGCCCCCCTCCCAACATCCTGCATCATTCTCCCAAGTCAGGGCAGATAGCACGAAGATATCACAGACAGAGGGTCTGGCCCCTGCATATCTGTGGTTTACACATGCTCCCCTGAAACTCCCCCCACTTCACTGTGGAGATATTCCAACCATCCCATTCCACTTCCCTTGGGAATACCATACCGAACAACACTTTGTGGGGCTCCAAACTCAGACAGAGTAGCTCGAGCCTAAAGCGGAGGAAAAGATTTGCAGTGACTGCGGCCCTGCTGTTTGGGGAGGCCAGATTCAGATCACAGGAGCAGGCCGCTAGGTGGCAGAGCATAACCAATACTGCTCCTACGTCTTATAGATGAGGAGGTGACCCTTCCCATTCTCCAGGGAATACGTCACTACCTTCCAAGGAATCATGTCCGAGGCCAGGCTCTGGTGAGTTAGGCCCCAGCAGTTGGAGATTCAATGCTCCCATTTTGCCCCGTCACTCCGGGGTGTCCCTTGTCCAGCCCCGGTCACCCTCCTGACTGGGAACAGTTACCCCCAGCACTGTCTCAGGTTCCACACCTCGTGTCCCTTCCCACTCCCACCCACTCGGATTCCGAATCAGTGACACAATCAGAGCGAGGGTCCTCCCTACCTGAAGAGGGCGGTATCCATGTAGCAGGAATTGCAGTGTCCCTGAATCCCGCGCATCCGGCCCTCCAAGACGCGGACTGCCTCTCCGTTCCTCGGGGGAGGGATAACGACAGGGACCACGTGGCTCTCCCGGTTCCCTGGAGGAATGGAAAGTTTCCGTTGTGCAACTCTTGGAGACTGTTGTCTCACAGGCTCCCCCACCCCCCGGACCAGGGTGCAGGAGTCAGCCTGCCTGTTCTTGAAGGCTTACAGCACAGGAGGAGGCAATTCAGCCCATCCTGTTCGGCCTCCAGATCTCAAGGCACTGATCCCATTTACTTGCCTCAAGTCTATGGCATTGCAAGTAAATATCTAAATATTTTTTAAATGTTAGAAGTATTCCAATAGTGGCCTAACCAATGTCCTGTACAGCTGCTACATGACCTCCCAACGCCTTTATTCAATGCACTGACCAATGAAGGCAAGCATACCAAACTCCTCCTTCACTATCCTACTTTCAAGGAACTGTGAACCTGCACTCCAAGGTCTCTTTGTTCAGCAGTACTCTCCAGGACCTTACCATTAAGTGCAAGTCCTGTCCTCATTTGCCTTTCCGAAATGCATCACCTCACATTTATCTAAATTAAACTCCATCTGCCACTTCTCCGCCCATTGGCCCATCTGATCCTGTTGTACTCGGAGGTAACCTTCTTTACTGTCCACTACATCTCCAATTTTAGTGTCATCTACAAACTTACTAATCATACCACCTATTTAGAATCCTATTTACTTGTTCTTGGTTCATAGCCCTAAAGGCAATGGCAACGCAAGTAAATATCTAAGTACTGTTTAAACATTAGAAGTGTTTCCGACTCAACCACCGTTTCAGTCAGCAACTTCCAGATTCTCACTATCCTCCAGGTGAAAATATTTCTCCTCAACTCTCCTCATAGCTCTTCTACCTCTTAGCTTAAGTTCAGCCTCCAAGCTATTGACACCTTTACTAATGGAAAAATTGCCTTCCTATCCATTGTATCTATGCCTCTCATATTTTTATACGCCTATCAGGAGTACATTAGCTCAGTTGGCTGGACAGCTGGTTTGTAACGCAGAGTAACACCAACAGCATGGGTCCAATTCCCACACTGGCTGAGGTCACCATGTAGATCACACCTTCTCAAACTTGCCCCTTACCTTTACCTTATCTACCTGCCTTGCTACAGTCAGGTATTGATGGATAAGCACTGATAGCACGTTCCAGGGTCCTGTTATTCATAATGTGATCTCCTGTCTTGTTAGCCCCCTGCATAACCTCATAACTTTTCCAGATTGAATTCCATTTGCTGCTGTTCTGTCGCCCTGACCATTCCCCTCTGCAATTTATGGCTATTTGCCTGGCTATTTACCACCTTCCTGCTCATATATCCCCTACATTTAAGCCCATATCATTAGAACGTGGGAGCAGAAGTAGGCCATTCAGCCCACTGAGTCTGCTCCACCATTCAATAAAATCATGGCCAATCTGATGACCCTCAACTCCACTTTCCTGCCTTTTGCCCGGAATCCTTCATTCCACGCCAGATTAAAAATGAGCCTTGACTATACTCCATCCTCCTCTGACCTCGGAGCGACCTGGATTGTCACCCTTGGTCACCTCCTGCTTAGCGGAGAGTGGAATGGGAAGGTGACGGGAGATATCAGTCAGGAATGTGTCTTACCGCTACGCTGCGGGTCTTGAGAGTTCTCTGGGTTGATGAGGAGAGACTGGAACCTGATGTCAGGCTGGCAGGATTCCACTCGGACAAAGATCCCTCTTTTGGCAGCGCAATGGAAATACTGGTGTCCCTGCCAGGTCCCATCTGACAGCCCATAGTCTTCATCCTGTCAGAGAGAGCCCAATCAACCAACATCCACACCCCACCCAACCCCCCATGCCCATCCTCAGCCCCCTCAATCCCTCACCCACTCCCACCCAGGTCCCATCTAACAGCCCACGGTCTTCATCCTATCAGAGAGAGCCCAGTCAGCTGATCCCCCTCCATATGCATTCCCCACCACCTAAACCCCACTCCCACTCCCCATCCCCAATCCACCCCACACTTGATGCCCCGTGGTCTTCATCCTGTCAGAGAGAGCCAACCCATACACACCACCTGCCCCTAACTCCCACCCAACCTCCACCCCAACACACACCCAAACCCCAACCCACTGCACTGCAAACAGCTAGGGCCAGAATATGAAAGAACAGGCAAGGGACAGAAGGTTGGCGGGGAGGAGGAGGGGTGGAGGGAGCAAGAGAGCACGCGCACAAGAGAGAGCGCGCACGAGAGAAGGTGCGGGGATGGGTTGACAGAAATGTGGATCTTTGCGATCAGCTGTGATCTTATTTACCAGCAGGAAAGCCGGGATGGGCTGAGTGGCCTATTCCTGATTGACGTGTTTGTCAATAGATGGAAAACCATGAGGAGGATGGCAGTAAGGAATAAACGTGGTTTTGGAAATATGTCTAATCGAAGACCTGGCAGAACTGTGAAATAAAGTTGTCAAAGAATATAAGACATGGGAAGTAATTCCGAACAGGAACACAGTCACCATGGGATGTGCAAAGTGAAAGCAAGAAGTGAGGAGCATGGATTAAGAATGACCGTGGACAAGAATAAGCTAGCGTGATTAAGCTCAGCCCTGACTCGAGACGGGGTGTAAATGGGCAAGTCCTGGGACATGTGAAACATCTACTTTAGGCAGATTATCCCTGACGATCGGAGTGTGAGATCCCAGAGTGATTTAGAATAGGACTAATAAAAAAAGAGCTGAGTTGTCAAAACTTCACATCAGGACAATTTGCAAGAGTTCCAAATTTCAAGCAATCTCAACAATTTATACCAGGAGGAGAAAAGGGTGCTGACTGGTCGGCAAGTCAATCCTGATGGACAAAAGGCTTCAGCAACATCGCTCACTCTGAGCCATATCGAAAATCTGTACATCCACGAGGTCAGATCTGCTCCTAATGAAGGGCCTGATAAACCAAGGCACTGCATTCTGTCCTCAATGTTAAACACCTGGGAGATACAGGACAACAAACAGAGAAACCACTGATGTGCTCAATGTATCTATGACGTGGATGATCCTGAGGCCTACACAGACAGAAAGACGAAGGAAGGAGTGATAGAAATGGCTGAAGTAAAGAGGAAGTTATTGTACAACTTTAGGGAGAAGAAAGGTACAATGCATTAAACATTACAGCAGGTGGTAAAATATCACCTACTTCTGCTGCTGTATTTTGTGTTATGTGATGCCTCCCCAGTCGATGGCCCAGAGTCTTAACCATCACGGGGAGAACAGAAAAGACTACATGATCATGAGGACCATGGACACAGACAATATCCCAATGTTTCTCATGGCGGGGAGAGTGGGGAGAGAGGGGAGTAAGCAAGACAGGGAGATACTTGGAAACGATGAGAAGCTTAGGCAGAAGGGGAGTTGTGAAGGAGGTTTACAGGAGAAGGGGGACAAAGGCTGGCATGCTGGAGACAGTGACTCATTTCCACATGAACTGGCCTAGCGCCAACTCTCTCCTTACCAGCTCAACACCAGCAATTTCACCCGCCATCCCAGGGAGGTAACCCATCCACTGGATCACTCCAGTAATCAGCTGCCCTTTGCCCATGTTGATTTGAACGACAGAGTTAACTCCCAGGTAGTGCTCTGGCCTTCTCCCTCCGCTTTCCAGGGGATCTCGTTTCAGGCCCCCATCCACCACGAGCTCACCATCTCTGGCTATACCACAAGAAAATAGAAAAATCATCAACTCCCCAAGTCAAGCTGTTTCCCTTCGGTAGAGTCTAGGACCACAGGACATCATCTCAAAGTAAGGGGTCACTTCAAACAGCGATGAGGAAGAATTTCTTCTCGCAGAGGGTAGTAAAACTGTGGAATTCTTTATCGCAGAGGGCTGTCGAGGCTGGGTCATTGAGTATACTCAAGGCTAAGGTAGATTTTTAATCAGTAAGGGGAGTCAAAAGGTTACAAGCAAAAGGCAGGAAAGTGGAGTTGAAGCTTATCAGAAGTTGCTGGAAAAGCTCAGCAGGTCTGGCAGCATCCGTGAAGAAAAAAAAATCAGAGTTAACGTTTCAGGTCCTTGAAGGGTCACCAAATCTGCTGATGCCCTCCCACTTTCAAGGAAGGGTCACTGGACCCGAAACGTTAACTCTGACATTTCCTTCACAGATGCTGCCAGACCTGCCGAGCTTTTCCAGCAACTTCTGTTTTTGTTCCTGATGTACAGCATCCGCAGTTCTTTCGGTTTTTATTGAGGATTATCAGGTCAGCCACGATCTATCTTATTGAATGGTGGAGCAGATTTGATGGGCTGAACGGCCTACTTGAGCCCTACGTTTCATCAAGATGCCATTAGGTAGGGATACTTTCGAACTGTGGACTAGTTCAATGAAGGCTTCCTCTAACAGGAACCACTGCAGTGATCAGTGGATGCCCACATTCACGGAACACCGGGCACACACTGTCCTGGACATAGATGACATCAACTCCCCAAGTCAACTTTGGGCGCCGGGGGTGGTGGGGCGGTGAGGTGGGCTACATGTGCCAGATTTTTGACTCTCTCCTACCCCACCCCAAACCTTCAGCTGACCCAACCCCTCTCCACTCATCCAGACTCACGGGCACTGGGGTACATACTGCCAGCAGGTTGGAGCAAATCTTCTCTTATGACGGAAGACAGTGGCACCTTCACACACATCTTCAGTTCCTCTCCCCTCGCCTGGTCCTGTGACAGAATGAGACAACGCTCAGATGTGGCCTCCAGACACTAGAGAGCGCTCTCTCACTTCAGCAAACCCAAAATGGTGGGAAAAAATAACCAAAGGGGGAATGTAACGGCCTGCAATTAGCCCCTAGGACAGGTGTGAGGAAAATCAGCACCGCCATCTCCCGCGGCTGGAGATTCAGACAATGGTGGCAGGAATATTTGCCAAGACACCAGGAGAGTCGTCATACTCCGTGAAAGGAATAAACGGGATCTCGGTTTATCGCTGCTAAAAGATGGCTTCTCCTACAGCTCTGATACCGCACTGTGGGACTGTTATCTAGGTTTCAGGGGTCCTGCAGTGGGATCTGAACTCACCACTTTGAGTCACGGCAACTGGGCTAACCAAAACTGAGGGGGCAAGGGTACGAGGCAGTCAGTGATCAGCTGATCCCCTTCCCTCCCCTCCCTCAGATGGAGGTCAGACATCACTGGGGCAAGGAACGAATGTGGAAGGACCTGGGATTTACACAACACGTCCCGGCAAGCACCGTCTATTTCGTCAGAGTCTCCAGGACAATTCCCGGAGTCATTATTCCCGGTCGGTGCGGGATAGTCCCTCGTCTTTATGAAATCATTCCCAGTCACTTGCAGCAGCCTGGCTAATGGTGGAGAGGTCACATGAACCAATCACCCTCATTCTACCAAGAGGCCAGGACACCCTGAACGTGGGCTCTTGGGAGACCGTTGCCATGGTTCCCAAGGTGGGAAGGACCCACTCACCGGCTTAAAGTTGACCATCACAGTTGAGTCTTCATTGATGACATCGATCACCAACCCCCTTTCCATCCCCTCCTCCAGGTAGACAGCCACTCGGTCACCAGTGCCAACTGGGTGATCCCTCAGTGGATCTTCCATCTTCCCATCTCCCACGCTGATGCACTTCCCCGCTTCTTCGATGCTCCAGCACCGCCTGACCTTGTGGAACGGCACAAAGATGCCGTGACCTCTCTCGCATTGGAAATACTGCTTCCCGTTAAACGTTCTGTCATTTTTCCCATCTTCTTCCACTTCCACCTGCCATGGGAGGTTTAAAATACAGGAGGAGAGAGGAAGTGAAAATGGTGAGAAGTGGGGGACGGGAAGAGAGAGGAAGGGATTGGGCGTGTGGGGTAGGATTGGGCAGGAGCAAGGAATGGAAATAGTGAGTAGACAGATGAAAGGTTTAAAATCTTTAAAACTCCGGGTTTGATTCTGTACCCGGCGTGTAAGGGAAGTGGAGCCAACTCCAGGAGTCCGTCAAAGGCTGGCTCCCCTTCCCTTCAGTCGAAGGGTTTAGCGTGGGCTATATGGAGAATATTGGATATCTGGATATGGGATACATTCTGGAATCTAATTGAGGGGTTCAGGGAGGTGGGAGGCTGGTATACATAGAACAACAAATACACAGGAGTGATTTACAAACTGAAATCTAATCAAGGAGGTTTGAGTGATTTATATATTGATACTGGAGAGAGAATTACAGACTAGAATCGAATCAAGGGGTTCAGAGTATGATTATATCTAGATTATCATACTGGGAGTGAGTTAAAGACTTGAGAGGGATGGTTTATATAAAATAACAGATACCTTGCTATAAGTACCATAACATATAGGAAGAGAATTGGCCATTCGACCCATTGACTCTGATCTGCCATTCAATCATGGCTGATATGCTTCTCAACCCCATTGTCCTCACAACCCTTGATCCCCTGACTAATAAAAGGACCTTTCTCTGCCTTAAAGACACTCAATGATTAGGCCTCCACAGCCCTCTGCAGCAAGGAGGTCCACAGATTCAGCAGACTCTGCCTGAAGAAATTCCTCCTCATCTCAGTTCTAAAGGGTCATTCCTTCACTCTGAGGCTGTGCCTCTGGGTCATAGTCTCTCCTACTGGCGGAAACATCTTCTCCACATCCAGTCTATCTGCGCTTCTCAGTATTCTGTAAGTTTCAATGTGAAATCCCCCCTTCATCCGGCGATAAGTCCTTCACCCCCAGGATCCTTCTTGTAAACCTCCTCTGGACCCCCTCCAGTGCTGGCACATCCTTCCTTAGATATGGGATCCAAAACGGTTCACAATATTCCAAATGCAGTCTGAGCAGAGCCTTATATAGCCTCAGCAGTACATCCCTGCTCTTGTATTCTAGCCCTCTTGAACTGAATGCTAACATCACATTTGCCTTCCTAATTGTCAATTGTCAACTGTCAAAAGATAGGACAGGTGAAAGGTTAAGGTGCTAAACTGGAGCAGGGTCAATTTTGGGGCCACTAGGCAGGATCCAGCAGAGCTCGATTGGGTGAGTCTGTTTGAAGGAAAAGGAATGACTGGCAAATGGGAGGGTTTTAAAAGTGTGATACCAAAAGTCCAGGGACAGTATATCCCTGTTAGGGTGAAGGGAAAAGCTGCAAGTTTAGGGATCCCTGGCTGATGAGAGACACTGAGGCTGTGGTCAGGAAAAAGAAGAAGGCGGCATACTTTGGTTTAAGCTATCGGGCTCAAGTGAATCCCTACACGACTATAAAAAAATGTAGGAGCACACTCAAGAGGGAAATCAGAAGAGTTAAAAGAAGGTATGAGATGGATCTGGCAGATAAGGTTAAAGATAATCCCAAGGGGTTTTATAACTATATTAAAAGGGTGGCTAGGGAGAGAATAGGTCCCCTTAAAGATCAGCAAGGCCATCTGTGTGTGGAACCACAGGAGATGGGGGAGATTTTTAATGAATATTTCTCAAGTGTTGACTAAGGAGAGAATCATGGATGCTAAGGAAATAAGGGAAACAAGGGAGGATGTTTTGGACCACATACATATTACCAGAGGAGGAGGTGTTTGCAATCTTAAAGCGCATTAAGGTGGATAAATCCCCTGGGCCTGATCAAGTACATCATCGGACATTGTGGGAGGCAAGGGAAGGAATTGCAGAGGCCCTTGCAGAGATTTTTGTTTCCTCTTTAGCCACTGGCGAGAGGTTCGGAAGACTGGAGGGTGGCTAATGTTGTTGCATTATTTAAGAAAGGTAGCAAAGACAAGCCGGGAAACTACAGGCCAAGTGAGCCTGGCATCAGTGGTAGACAAGTTATTGGAGAGAATACTGAGGGACAGCAACCACCTTTTGGATGGTCAAGGTCTGATTAGGGATAGTCAGCATGGATTTGTGCGCAGGAAGTCACGTCTGACAAATCTTTTAGAGTTTTTTGAAGAGGTAACCAAGAGGATAGAGGAGGACAGGGCAGTGGATGTTGTTTATGTGGACTTTGACAAGGTCCTGCACAGCAGGCTAGTCATGAAGGTTAGGTTGCATGGGATCCAGGGAGAGTTAACTGATTGGATTCAAAATTGGCTCGATGGCAGGAAGCAGAGGGTGAGGGTTGAAGGTTGTTTCTCGGACTGGACGCCTGTGATGAGTGGTGTGCCACAGGGGTTGGTGCTGGGACCTTTGTTATTTGTTACTTACATAAATGATCTGGATCTGAATGTACAAGGCATGATTAGTAAGTTTGCGGATGATACAAAATTAGGAGGTATCATTGATAGTGAGGAACGTTATCAAAAATTACAGAGGGATCTTGATCAGATAGGGAAGTGGGCTGAGGATTGGCTAATGCAATTCAATACAGGTAAGTGTGAGGTGTTGCACTTTGGAAAGTCAAACCAAAGTAGGACTTATACAGTAAATGGTAAGGTCCTGAGGAGTGTTGTGGAACAGAGGGACCCAGGAGTACAAGTACATAGTTCACTGAAAGTGGCGTCATGTATAGACAGGGTGGTGAAGGCGGCATTTAGCGTGCTGGCCTTCATCGGTCAAGGCATTGAGTAAAGGAGTTGGGATGGGGTGTTATGATACACGTGTATAAGTTGCTGGTGAGGCCACGCTTGGAGTATTGTGTACAGTTTTGATCACCCTGTTATAGGAAAGACAAACTGGAAAGTGTGCAAAGAAGATTTACAAGGATGTTGCCAGGACTAGTAGGCCTGAGTTTATAGGAAGAGGTTGGCCAGGATAGGACTTTATTCCTTGGAACGTAGGAGAATGAGGGGTGACCTTATTGAGGTGTATAAAATCATGAGGGACATAGATAGGATGAATGCATATAGTCTTTCTCCCAGGGATGGGGAATTGAAAACTAGAGGGCATAGGTTTAAGGTGAGAGGGGAAAGATTTAAGGAGGACCTGAGGGGCAACTTCTTCACACACAGTGGTGAGTATATGGAATGGGCTGCCATAGAAAGTGGTTAAGGCAGGTACAATAGCAACATTTAAAAAAATATTTGGATAGGTACATGGATGGGAGGGGTTTATAGGGATATGGACCAAATGCAGGCAGTTGGAACTAGTTGAGTGGGCAACACACCAGAACTTCAAGAAAGTCATACTAGCTTGGACCAGTTTGGGCTGAAGGGCCTGTTTCTATGCTGTATTACTCTATAACTGAATCTGCATATTAACTTAAAGAGAATACTGAACTAGGACACCCAAGTTCCTTTGAGCTTCAGATAATCCCCATTTAGAAAACAGTCTACACCTTTATTCTTCCTGCCAAAGTGCATAACTTCAGAATTTCCCATATTGAATTCCATCTGCTACTTCTTTGCCCATTCTCCTATCCAAATTCTTCTGCAGCCTCCCCACTTCCTCAACACTACCTGTCCCTCCACCTATCTTTGTGTCATCCACAACCTTAGCAACAACGCCTTCAGTTCCTTTGTCCAGTTCATTAATGTATAAACGTGAGTAGTTGTGGTTCTAACACTGATCCCTGCGGAACTCCGCTAATCACTGGCTGCCATCCGAAAAAGACATCCTTATCCCTACTCTCAATAATGGATTCTAAAATCTTACCAACAGCCAAGCTCAGGCTAACCAACCTATAATTTCCTGTCTTCTGTTTCCCTCCCTTCTTAAAAAGGGACTGTTACATTAGCCATTTTCCAGTCCTCTGGGATCCTCCCTGACACCAGTGATTCCTGAAAGCTCACCACCATTGCTTCAACAATCTCCTTAGCTATCTCCTTCAGAACTCTAGGGTGTCGTCCATCCTGTCCGGGTGATTTATCCACCTTCAGACCTTTCAGCCTCCCCAGCACCTTTTCCTTAGGGATGAACAATACACTCACCCAAGCCCTGACTTTCTTGAAGTTCTGGTGGGTTGCCTGTGTCATCTACCATGAAGACTGATGTAAAGTACCTATTCAGTTCCTCCACTATTTCTTTTTTCCCCAGCCTCATTTTCCAATAGTCCAATGTCCACTCTTGCCTCTCTCTTATCTTTTACATATCTAAAAACTCTCTTGCGATCTCCTTTTATATTACTAGCTAGCTTACTCTCATATTTCATCTTCTCTCTCCTTATTGCTACTTTTTAATTATCCACTGCTGGCTTTTAAAAGCTTTCCAATCCTCTGGCTTCCACTAATCTTCACCACATTTTATTATTTTTAGGAGGCATAGGATTATATAGCATGGAAACAGACCCTTTGGTCCAACTCGTCCATGCCAATCAGATATCCTAAATTAATCCAGTCCTGTTTACCAGTATTTGGCCCAATTCCTTCTAAACCCTTCCTATTTATATACCCATTCAGATACCTTTTAAATGTTGTCATTGTACCAGCCTCCACCACTTCCTCTGGTAGCTCATTCCATACACGCACCACCCTCTGTGTGAAAAAAAAAGTTGTCCCTTAGGTCCCTGTTAAATCTTTCTCCTCTCACCTTAAGCTTATGCCTTCTAGTTTTGGATTCCCCCACCCTGGGAAAAAGATGTTGTCTATTCTCACTATCCATGCCCCTCACAATTTTATAAACCTCTACAGGGTCACCCCTCAGCCTCCAACACTCCTGGGAAAATAGCCTCTCCCTATAGTTCAAAGTCTCCAACATAGTTATAAATCTTTCTGCACCCTCTCAAGTTTAACAACATCTTTCCTCAAGCAGTATTAAACACAGTATTCTAATAGTGGCCTAACCAATGTCCTGTACAGCCGCAATATGACCTCCCAACTCCTATACTCAATGCAATGACCAATAAAGACAAGTGTACCAAACGCCTTGTTCACTATCCTGTCAACCTGCAATTCCACTTTCAAGGAACTATGAACCTGCACTCCAAGGTCTCTTTGCTTGGCTACACTCTCCACAGCCCCACTATTAAGTGTATAAGTCCTGCCCTGGTTTGCCTTTCCGAAATGCAACACCTCAAATTTATCTAAATTAAACACCATCTGCCACTCCTCGGCCCATCGGCCCATCTGATCCAGGTTCCATTGTATTCAGAGATAACCTTCTTCACTGCGCACAATCTAATTGAGGGTTCTGGGTGGTTTATATATAGAACAACAGATACCCGGGACAGAGTTACAGACTGGAATCTAACGAAGGCGTTCGGGGTGGGGTCAACATTGACTGAACATAGTTGCACTTTCAATGAAGCCTACCTGCAACTTTATTCCAAAGAACGTTCCGGAAAGCTTCGGGCTGTTGCATATGCTTCCGATGTAAGCGATGACTCCAGGCAGTGACTGGGATTTGTAGTCAACGACAACAGGATCCCAGATTTGGAGCTGCTGTGCGTTTGCAAGAGTTGCCTCTTCCAGGTAGAGGTCTAAGCGCTGGGCAGAGGGACTGACAGCTTGCAGAAATCCTGCCTCCTGCTCACTCAGCTCACGCAGGCTGGCCAGCTCCAGGACAAGGTACACTTCCGCCTCCACCAGGTGGAACTTCATTCTGCGGTTTGGCCCCTGAGCCTCGCTCTGCAGGAAGTCAGCCTCAGCAATGATGGCAATGTTGCCAGCGGGAAAGACCCGGTCCTGAAAGGACAGGTCCTCCATCAAGATGAAGTAGCGGTATTTTGTCTCTTTCTTACTAGACAGGGGCATCATTTCCACCAACTCCCTGGAGAATGAGGAGGAAACAGTGAGGAGAAATTACAAAACTGTCACAGCATTCTGCCCATCACATCTGCCTTGCCCTCTCCACACAAGCAATTCACCAAGTGTCATTCTCCTACCTTTTCCCTAACACTCTGCACATTCTGCTTTTTAAAATAATAATGGTATTCCGAAGGGAAGTAGACCTCGAGTGAATCTGCCTCCTCCACATTCTCAGGCAGTGCACTCCAGGCCCCAACTACTCGCTAAATGAAAATGTTTCCCCTCATAGAGTCATACAGCACAGAACAGACCCATCGGTCCAACCAGTCCATGCTGAACATGATCCCAAACTAAACTAATCCCACTGGCCTGGTCCTGGCCATTATCCCTCCAAATCTTTCCTACTCATTTACTTATCCAAGTGTCTTTTAAACATTGTAATTGTACCCACATCCTCATTTTGCTGCCTATTTTTGAAGCCATGCTGTCTCATCCTCAACTTCTTCACGAGTGGGAGCAGTCTCTCCCTAATAATCTTCGCCATGCCCCCTCTGACCTTCTCTTCTCCAAGGATATCAGTCCTAACATCACCAATCAACCTTCATGGCTGATGTTCCTCATGTCTGAAACCATTCTCATCAACATTTCTGTACTTGCTCTCAACATCCTTCTTCACTCAGAAGTGGACACGATACTCCAGCTAAGGTCTGACCAGCATCTGGTACAAGATCAACATCAGCTCCTTGCCCTTGTACTCAATGATCCTATTAATAAAGCCTAGGAGACTGAATGCTTTATTCACTGCTCTCTTGCCACCTTAAATGACTTATGCACATTTACACCCCTGTCCCTCTGCTCCCTCACTTTATATTGTACCATCTCTCCATCGTCTTCCTAACAACATCCAATTAACATCCTGGGGGTTACCATCAACTAGAAACTGAACTGCACTCGCCATATATACACAATGGCTACAAACACAGGTCAGAGGCTAGGAATACCATGAGTAACTCACCTCCTCACTCCTCAAATCCTGTCCACCATCTACAAGGCACAAGTCAGGAGTGTGCTGGAATATTCCCCACTTGCCTGGATGAGTGCAGCTCCAACAACACAAGAAACTTGACACCATCCAGGATAAAGCAGCCGCTTGATTGGCACTACATCCACAAGCATCCACTCCCTCCACCACCGACGCTCAGTAGCAGCAGTGTGTACTAAATACAAGATGCACTGCAGAAATTCACTGAAGATCCTCAAACAGCACCTTCCAAACCCATGTCCATCTAGAAGGACATATCATCTTCCTTAACTGTCACAGTCAAAATCCTGGAATTCCCTCTCTTAGGCCATTGTGGGTCAACCCAAAGCAGGTGGACTGCAGTGGTGCAAGATGGCAGCTCACCACCACCTTCTCAAGGGGCAACTAGGGACGGGCAATAAATGCTGGGCCCAGCCAGCGACGGTCATACCCCACAAGTGAATTTTTTAAAAAACTGAATGGCGGAGCAGACTGCAGGAGCCAAGTGACCCACTTTCTATCTCTGATGTTCTAATGTTCAGTCCCAGTGTCTATTGCTCTGACGTCGATGTGTCTCTCTCCTCTCCCTCTCAGTATCTGTCTCTAATGACACAGACACCCACACGGGTCACCCTCAGCCTGGCCGACAGTCTGAAACATTCACCCTGGATGGTTCACATGGTCAATAGTCTGAGCAGGTAGATTTTCTGGGTGTTGAAGAACCCTTACTTTCGAAGAACATGCCTGTGAAAGTTATCATGGACCAGATCAAAGCCCCTCAAAATATATTAAGAAGATAGCCTAGACCTGAACCTTTTCTTATTTTAAAGGCAAGTGCCAGGCATTACATTCCAGATGCAATTCAACTTGTCAAACTACCAGATTTGAAGCAAAACACACTTTATTTATAAATTATAGTTAAAATACACGAAAAGACAGACCAATTGGAATCACTTAACTCAATTGGAAAACTTAACTGAATTATAGATTAATTTAACTACTAAACACTAACTGTTCTGATATAGTAACATCCCGTAAACACACCCTTGGCAAAGGCAAATTCAGTAAAATAGATTGTCTCACAGACAATTCTCCAGTCCAGGGGGGAAAACATCAGAAATCTCAGAGAGTATGTCGCAGGGAGAGGCGTATTGCAGCTTCCAAACTCAGCTTCAAGACCCCAGCAGCAACTGCTACTGAAAAGCTAAAACTACAAATCTGGTCATGTGGGAGCTTGACCTCACCTACTCAGGCTGCTTCTATTGTTCCAACTTAAAAAAAAAACCCCAAGGCCTCACAAGCTGTTTACTGTTTGGGATTTCAATAGATCGCTCGTCACCTCTCACCTAAAACCACTCTTAAAAACAAAGGACAAAATACATCTCTTAAAGACATAGTATTATCACAAAGTCAACACAAAAGAACGTTCCTGGACAGAAGGTTATGTGATGGTGACTCATGACTAGAAATCACACAGATGATGTGTGTTTTGGTTCTTGCTCTCTTGGGTGGCATCTGTCAGACACACATCCGACGGCTGAGAATCACTTTGGGACATCCCAAGCTTCCAAAAGGAGCAGTCAATTGTACACAGCAAGATCCCATCGCAATCTTATGATAACAAGGTGATCTGGTCTAGTGGTAAGAGTCTGTTTTGGGGAGTCTTGTGGTGCAGTGGTAGCGCCAGAACCTCAGAGACAGGGGATCCAGGTTCAAGCCCCAACTGCTCTGGATGCATGTAATAACGTCCCTGAACAAGTTGATGAGAAAATATCTTTTAAAAAAGTCTCTCTGAATAATTGTACCTCCCTTAAGCCTCTTATTAAGACCATGCTCATAGTCACCCACCCCACTCTGTGTTTCTGGCTGGGTGTGAATATCATTCATAGCTAATCGCTCCTGCAAAGCAGCTTTCAACATTTTCCTCTATTAAAAAGGTATTACATAAACATAGGTAGTTGCTGTGGCTGTACTGAGCCACCTACAAACAGTTAATGCTTCCATTGGAGTGTTAGCCAGTTGTAAAAATACAAAATGCTGAGACAGTACTACAGCTCAATCAGCATCACAGAGAGAGGTTTAGTGGTTCAGGGTGGGAGCCTCTCTAATTGAACGTTCTATGTCTGTCTCACTGTGATGTGGTGACACAGATCTAAACTGTAACAGCACGTTGGGGGCTGCCAAATAGTCTGGAATGGCCAGAGACCAGGAAAGGTTCAGAGCAACGAACCTCCTCCGACCTAAACAAACATTATTAGGGTGAGATTTGATAAAACACTCAAAAGGGAAATAATTTGACCAAACACTACAGGGTTATTCATGCTCATGTCATCAAGATGGTGGCAGAGCAGGGTCTCATCAGCTCTGATTTTCTTTTCTTGTTCTTTTCTTTTACTTTCTTTACTATTAGTGATGGGGAAGAAATGCCAACGCAGACTCAACTGAGCCCAGTGCGGAACCCGTGGTGGCAGCGAATGGGCCCCTATTTACCTTTCTAGGGGGAGCATGGGACCTGGCATCAGAATCAGCAGCTGCTATGTCATCAGCGAGGTAGGCCCAGAGGCAAAAGATGGTGCCTGAGGATCGTTGGCTTTGTTGTTGCTGCTTGGGTCCGGTGCTGGCCACAGCAAATTGGTGGCAGAAGGGCATCATGGTAACATCGGCGAGGTGGGCCTGGCGGTGACAGGCGCGATTCTGACGTTGGTACGGTCGGGTGCAGATATCGGTGAGGCAGAAAATTGGCCCATCGGAGAAAGATGGCACCTGAGGAGCGGCAACTTCAACGCTGGTCAGGTCTGACACAGACGGTGGTGAGGTGGTGGAGGAGGGATGGCAATGCGAGCATTGCTGATGAGCTGGCTCAGGACTGACAGACTCTCTTTAAAGCTAAATCTTTCTATTTTTTTAAAATCCTTAAAACTATGCAAAATGGCAACAGTGGAAAAGCTTTTCACTGTATTTAACCATTTTTCTCACCGTAAAATACACGTGACAATAAAATCATAAAGATCCTGGGAGTGGGATTCACTGAAAAGTGCTCCCACAGCTACCTAGAATACACCTCCTACCACCCACCTTCCTGCAAAAATGCCATCCCCTATTCCCAATTCCTTCGCCTCCGCCGCATCTGCCTCCAGGATGAGGCATTCCACTCCCATACATCTCAGATGTCCTCGTTTTTCAAGGACCGCAACTTCTGCCCCTCAGTGGTCGAGGACGCCCTCAACCGTGTCTCCCGCATTTCCCGCAACTCATCCCTCACACCCCGTCCACGCAAAAAGAACCAAAAAAGAATCCCCCTCGTCCTCACGTACCACCCCACCAACCTCCGGATCCAACGCATCATCCTCCGACACTTCCGCCATCTGCAATCCGACCCCACCACCAAAGACATCTTTCCCTCCCCACCCTTATCTGCTTTCCGGAGGGACAACTCTCTCCGTGACTCCCTTGTCCGCTCCACACTCCCCTCCAGCTCCACCACACCCGGCACTTTTCCCTGCAACCGCAGGAAGTGCTACACCTGCCCCCACACCTCCTCCCTCACCCCCATCCCAGGCCCCAAGAAGACTTTCCACATCAAGCAGATGTTCACCTGCACATCTGCTAATGTGGTATACTGCATCCGCTGTTCCCGTCGTGGCCTCCTCTACATCGGGGAAACCAAGCGGAGGCTCGGGGACCGCTTTGCAGAACACCTACGCTCGGTTCGCAATAAACAACTGCACCTCCCAGTCGCGAACCATTTCAACTCCCCCTCCCATTCCTCAGACGACATGTCCATCCTGGGCCTCCTGCAGTGCCACAACGATGCCACCCGAAGGTTGCAGGAACAACAACTCATTCCGCTTGGGAACCCTGCAGCCCAATGGTATCAATGTGGATTTCACAAGCTTCAAAATCTCCCCTCCCCCTACCACATCCCAAAACCAGCCCAGCTCGTCCCCGCCTCCCTAACCTGTTCTTCCTCCCACCTCAAGCCGCACCCCCATCTCCTAC